TATGAAAGTTCCTCAAAAACTAAAAATAGAACTACCATATATATATCCAAAACAAAATCATGATATCGAGGAGACATCTACACCCTTAGGTTTATTGCAGCACTGTTCACAACAGCCAAAATATGTGATCAACCTAAGTGCCCATCAATGACTGAAAGGATAAATGTGATAAACATACAGAGTGGAATATTATTTAGCCATAAAAAGAATGTAATCATGTCACTTGCAGCAACATTGATGGAAATGGAACCCATTATGTTAAATAAGCCAGGCACAGAAAGACAAGTATTGCACATTCTTGTTCTTATGTGGGAGCTAAAAAATGGGATTGCATCAAGGTAGACAGTAGATTGGTTGTTCCTAGAGGCTGGGAATGGCAGAGGGATGGGGAGATGAAGTTGATTAATAGGTACAGAAGTACAGTTCTAATAAGACCTAGTGTTAGATAGTTCAGTAGGGTGACTATAGTTAACAACCATCTACTGTGTATTTAAAAATAGCTGGAAGAGAAGAATTTGAATGTCTCCAGCATAAAGAAAAGTTAAAGGTTTGAGGTGATGAATATCCCCATTACCCTGATTTGGTCATTACACATGTGGAATGTGTCAAAACAACATAAAACAACTCCGAAATGTATACAACTATTATGTATCAAAAAATATGTGCCAAAGTAACACTTCTCTACCCTCTTCCTCCTGTTTCTCCCACCTGATTCCTGTCTTCCTCTAGGTCTCAAGTATAGCTCTGGGTGGATGAAGGAAATGGTTTAGACAGAATGTGTCTTGATTTCAACTAGATTTGTGGTCAATTTGGGAGAAAATAATGTGAGCAGAGTACCTAGTGAAGTAGATAGTAGGTTGTTTGAAGATGGGAGGCAGTTTTTTGAAGTAGAAATGACCTTTAATGTTGAACTTAGATGTGGAATCAGTTGGTGCAAGGATTAAGTTCATGGTGTTCTTGATAATTAAGAGTAGAAATTTTCTTTTTCTCCTCTTCTTTGCCATCTCCTACACCTCATTCCCTCAAATAACCTAACTACCACAAAACATTGAGAGGGTCAAATGAAAGGAGAACTTTAGATCATGTGTAGTAGAGGGTGAATGATAAATTGGAGAGGATCGGGAAAATAAATATTAAAAGGAAGACTATTCCTCTGCCTCAAGAAATAAAATCCCATTTCCCCTAATGCTTCTTTCCATGAAAGAAATTAGATTTAAAAGTTCATTATTTAGTATTTTATCATGGATAATATATGTAAATTTGTATTTCAAAAGCTTTTCCATGAAAAAATATTGTATACCCAAGCATTGCTAGAACTCTTTATAATTATGATCAACAAATGGATTTTTTGAAAGGCATCACATTGTTTTAGTCACTGTTTTACTACTATTATTTTTAACTTTTTGTTTTGACATGTTGCTTTTAACTGTAATTAAAAATTATTGGCATCTGTGTTTACTTTTTAGCTTGCGCATACCTTATCTTCATAGCAGAAACTAATTAGTATGTGAAATACAGTACCATTAAATGTGCATTAATGGGAAGAAATTCTAATCTGATCAGCTGTAAAATATGTTAGAAAATACATTTTGATATGTACATGGTGTTCATTCCAGTTCCATTCTCATAACAAAGAAATACTGTTTTTGCTTTTGCCTCCATACGTCTTTACGTGGTTCCTTGCATGTGGTCAGATTACAAATTTAGGGGGTAAAAAAGTCTTCCCTTATGAAACTTACTAAGTGATTTAGAGAAATAACTATTATGTGTGATAAGGCTGTTTTAACAAAATAGAATGTAATACCTCACTGACATTTTTCAAGGCACTAGAATATCTTTTCTACTTCCAAATAAATTTCATACATACTTTTCCTTAGTCTTTTCCTAATTTATTGACCCAGATTACTTAACATCTTAAACCATAACATGTAAATGTTATCTTCTGTGAATTTCTTTCTGAACTGCCTATACAAATTTCTATGATTCACTCTCATGTTGGAGGCATATAACTTTTATATTATTACTGTTAACTTGATATCTCAAAACTATCCCCTTTTTCTTGTTCCTGCTGCCACCATAGTAGTCCAAGCCATCCTCACTTCTCTCTTGGGGTACTGTAATACTTTCCTAATTGATCCTTCTTAGAAGAACATGAATAGACTTTTACAAACATGTCACCCACACCCCATCACTTTCTCCATGTCCCACACCATCACAATACCCAACTTACACTCTTCCAATAGCATTGGTTTTCCCTTACAGCCCCATTGACAATAGTGGATAACCTCCACTTTTTCCTTAATACCACTTATCAGAAGGAGTAATTGTTTAAGTTGGATAATTTACTTGTTTGTGTTTTCCACTAGCCTGTGAACTCCATGAGCAATGGAATCTTATCTTTTTATTAAGTTACTTTATACCAGCACTTTTCTTAGCAATTAGTGAGTGCACATCAGCAGTTGTTTTTTTTTTAAGTGAATGGACTTGGTTCAGTATATCACAAAATAGCCACTTGTATAATGCTTAATCATGTATTTCATACTCCCTCTGTGATGCTCGCTCACAGTAGTATCCCCTTCTCTGGTTTTTCCCGTTAACACTGATTACCATGTAGGTAGAATTAAAGCTCCATGAGAGCAGCGAATTTTGTCTGTTTTTTCAGTGTCCTGTCTCTGATATGCAGATGAATACCCAGAAAATACTCGTTGCATATGTGTTGAAGGAGTTGGGTGGGTGGCTGGATGGCTGGATGGATGAATGGATGAATGAACTCTTGCACACTTGACATCTTGGAATTCTTTCCTATGATACACAATTCAGTTCAATAGACATGTATTAAGTATCTGCTGTATGCTTACCATCATGTTAGGCACAGTATATATGGAAATCAGTAAGCTCTGGTGTCATTTCTGCTTCTGATTTATTTTGTTTTGCAATGTTTGCTACTCTAATTAACTTACGAACTATAGTACGATATGACAGTGGCTTTCAAATTGAGCACTTAAAACTGACTCCTATAAAACAACTAAGACTGAGATGATTTCATGTTTATGCTTTCCTTCACTTGTTGTTAATTATACTTTCTGTTCAGACACAATTGATCTGACCTTCTTGGAATGGTTGTAGGATCTTAGCTTCTTTGATTAATGTAGTTACTATCTTTTGAGTTTAAGGTCAAATATTTTTATAACGATAACAAATATAATGCAGTGTCCTGATGTTTTGCTTTTCATGTCTTTCTTATATCTAATTTTGATTTTCTGATAGTGTTAAGAAATTGATTCAGCAAGGGCTTTAAGATCTTGCCAGAATTGAAGAACAGAGATGCTCTGTTAGCTTCAGCAGTTATCTTCCTTTCGTTTCTTCTTTAAGATAGTGTTACTTCTGAAATATGAAACATTAACTCCAGTTCTCCATATGTTGGAGAAAACACTAGTTTGCTTTTGATAGCAATATGAGATTATGCCCAAAGTTGGGGAAAACATTCTTAGTTTATTTTTGGTTTGAAATATACTTATATTTTAAAATGATCACCTACAGTAGGAGGATTGTGAGCCTTTTTTTCTTTCTTTCTTTTTTTTTTTTTTAAAAAAAAAAGAGGCACATCGGCCGGGCGCGGTGGCTCAAGCCTGTAATCCCAACACTTTGGGAGGCCGAGACGGGCGGATCACGAGGTCAGGAGATCGAGACCATCCTGGCTAACACGGTGAAACCCCGTCTCTACTAAAAAGAACTAGCCGGGCGAGGTGGCAGGTGCCTGTAGTCCCAGCTACTCGGGAGGCTGAGGCAGGAGAATGGCGTAAACCCGGGAGGCGGAGCTTGCAGTGAGCCGAGATCCCGCCACTGCACTCCAGCCTGGGCGACAGAGTGAGACTCCGTCTCAAAAAAAAAAAAAAAAGATGCACATTAAACTTGTATTCTCTGGAGCTAAGCTATGAGGACGAAAAAGCATAAGAAAGATACAGTGGACTTCGGGGAGTTGGGGGAAAGGATGGAAGCAGGGTGAGGGATAAAAGACTACACATTGGGTATGGTGTATGCTTCTCAGGTGATGGGTGCACCGAAATCTCAGAAATCACCACTAAAGAACTTATTCCTATAACCAAACACCACCTGTTTCCCAAAAACCTATTGGAATTAAAAAAAAAAGTGTAACACCCGCCCCCCTGCAACCAAAGGAAAAAAATCCCGTAGTCTCAGCTACTTGGGAGTCTGAAGCTGGAGGATTGCTTGATCCTCAGGAATTTGAGCTCAGCCTGGGCAACATAGCAAGACCCTATCTCTAAAAAAATAAGGAAGTTCATAAGGCTGGGCATGGCGCCTCACATCTGTAATCCCAGCTACTCAGGAGGCTGAGGCAGAAGGAATGCTTGAGTCCAGGAGTTCAAGGTTAGAGTGAGCTGTGATTGTACCAGTGTACTCCATCCTGGGCAACAGAGCAAGAGCTTGTCTCTAAAAAACAAAATAAAAAAGCAAAAAGCCACAAGCAGAAAGGTGTATATTTTTATACTCTGTTCCTTTCTATTTCTAAAATGTGTAATTTAGAACTAAATATTGCTTGTGTATTCTGTGTTCTAATAACGAATTTCTTTAAAGTAGGAGACTTTTAGATTCTATATTTATTGTGAAATATATCCTTTCATCCCCCTGAATAAAATGTATTACAAACATGGAGATATTAAATTACCTTATGCTGAAATATTAGTTGATAAATTCTCCCTGATAATTTTCTGGCTGATTTTTATATCATTCTTGATATACTTTGATTAAGTATGATTGAATTTATATGAACTTATACAGCCATATTAATTAAATCATTAATTTGAGTTTTTTTGTATTTTGGTGGAAAGAATGCTGAGTGGTAAAGGAAGCATGCCACTGTGTTTTAAAATCCTTTTCAATCTCTGGGCTTAACTGCTTACAATTTTAGAGAAATAGTGAAATTATTACTATCAGTGCTCAAAACATATATTGAAGGTTTGCTTTTTTTTGTTTTGTAGGATGAAGTGGCACACACTCTTACTGAAAGCAGAGTATTAAAGAACACTAGACATCCCTTTTTAACAGTAAGTGACTAGAGGACAGATGTTATAATCGTAACATTTGAAATTTAAGGAATTTTGTGTTAGAAATTAAATTGTGAAAAATACTATTCATTTAGATATCCCATTTTCTTTGTGGAAAGACCGTAAGTCAAATTTCCTATAACTTATTAGAATGTATGGATTTTTACTGTATGTATGCATTGATAATTCTTCCCATTATGCATTTATTACTTTTTTGAGAATTTTTTTTCTCCCACGAATCTCTTGCCTTTAAAAACAAAAACAAACCATAGAATTAATAGATTACGCGTTTTAAGGAGACTATTGAGGAGATGACAGATTTTTAAAAATTTCTTAAGTGTAAAGATTTTATGTTTGTTTTATTGGCTTCTGATAAATATTTTAATGATCAGAAGCATTTCTTCAAAGATGAAAGGCAGAAATGTTTATTGAAAATATTTTATAGAAATGAGACTTCTTTGAGGGATAGAGTACTTTAAGAAATATGGGAATGCTAAATACATTAGAGGGGGGATAAGCCATACTATGTTTTTTTCATGAGACAAAGAATAAACTGTGATTATATGATATGCCTACAATGTAGTTGTTTTGAAAGAAACTGGATTTTTTAGTTCTGTTCTTAGATTCCTTGTAATATAGGGATAATTGGTAAAGTTCCTGTATTTTCCTGGTTCCAATGAACTATATTGAGATAAAAAATAATAGCTAGGCTTTCAAAAGTGGAACCCTTTGCACTATTTGGAATATCTGAAATAGACATTTTCAGAGCTGTCAGTAGATACCTAGACTTACTTTGCTACCTTTTTTGGTGTATTTATTGTCTAGTGTAATAAGATAGCCTTTTGGTATTTTTTAATAACCTATATATAACCTACAAAATTATATAAACCAACTCTGTTGGGTTGGGTTCTGTTACGCAGTCAATATGCAAAAAGTGATGTTGTCATTGTATTAGAAACCTGAGTATAACAACTGTAGCTAGATTCCTAAGGAACTTCAACTAGCGCAATTTGTTGGCCACGCTGTGAGGTTGCATGGATGAGCACCTCGAGTACTAACGCAGCTTCAAATCAATGGCACATTAGATTGAGAAGTGCTTGTTGCAATTATGTTTACTTTTACTTGAAATTTTAATTTTAATTTTTATTGTAATAATACCTATTGTGAACTAAACATTTATGTTTCTCATAAACTCTTAAGCACTTTTAAGTAGTAAATAAACTCTTAAGAAACAATAACAATTCTTTTCATCAATCGTGCTTACTATTTCTAAGTGTTCTACTTTTAGTACAATTATTATTATAAGAATACAGGGTTATAATATAACATTTTTTCTTTTTTTTTATTTCAAGTCCTTGAAATATTCCTTCCAGACAAAAGACCGTTTGTGTTTTGTGATGGAATATGTTAATGGGGGCGAGGTGAGTCAATAAGTAAATCCAGTATTTGCATGGTAGTGTTTTCATTATTTTAAAAACATTACTTAAAATGCACGTTTAATATAGTAGTTCTCCATTTCTTGATAGGAATTTGTGTAGCTCTTAATACTATTGAATGGATGGGAGGAAATTATTTCTGATGAGATGTAATGATTGTTTTTATATAACTACATTTATATGTTGGAAAGCATAATCATATTCTTTTTCCTGTGTTTTTAAATGTAAAACGTTTTAACAGAAGTATGATTTTTGAAATCATGTTATTAGATTTTGAAAACCAGAAATATAGATTTATTATGTTTTACAAAGTTTCTTTTCAAGTAGGCTGCAAACATTGTGAAAAGTTATTTTACCCATATTCTAAACTCAGTGGAACAATAGTCCATGGGCACATTATGGCTGAGTTTTCTCTTCTTGTTTATAGTAGTTAGAGTACTATGACTATATATATTTTTAAATATATATATTTAAATATATATTGAAATATATGTGTGTGTGTGTGTGTGTGTGTGTATATATATATATATATATTTTTTGAGACGTAGTCTCGCTCTGTCGCCCAGGCTGCAGTGTAGTGCGCGATCTTGGCTCACTGCAAGCTCCTTCTCCCGGATTCATGTCATTCTCCTGCCTCAGCCTCCCGAGTAGCTGAGACTGCAGGCGCCCACTGCCACGCCCGGCTAATTTTTTGTGTTTTTTAGTAGAGACGGGGTTTCACCGTGTTAGCCAGGATGGTCTCGATCTCCTGACCTCGTGATCCGCCCGTCTCGGCCTCCCAAAGTGCTGGGATTACAGGCTTTTTTTTTTTGAGACAGAGTTTTGCTCTGTTGCCAGGCTGGAGTGCAGCAGCGCAGTCTAAGCTTACTACCACCTCTGCCTCCCGGGTTCAAGCGATTCTCCTGTCTCAGCCCCCTGAATAGCTGAGACTACAGGGGCGCACCACCACGCCCCGCTAATTTTTGTATTTTTGGTAGAGATGGGGTTTCACTGTGTTAGCCAGGATGGTCTTGATCTCCTGACCTCGTGATCCGTCTGCCTCAGCCTCCCAAAGTTCTGGGATTACAGGTGTGAGCCACCACGCCCGGTCTACCATGACTATATTTAAGAGACTGACAATATCTTACAATTTTGGAGATAAATTTTATAATTTTTATTAGCACATTTCACTCATTCCTTTATTCCTTTTCCTTTCTTTTCCTTGGTTTTGATCACAGTCAATGTGAGGGAAAAGTAGATTTACTGGAAAGGCTAACTGGAAATATTTTTAGTGTGGACTTTCTGAAATAAATTTAGTTGTTAAATAAGGTCTGTGTCTCAGGAAGTTAAAATATTCTTATTTTCCAAAATAAATAATTAAATATCCTTTAGGGAATTTTTTTCCTGTAGAATTATCTGATTTGCAGGAGTTTGTTTGTTGCAAAACTTCATTCACTCAGGGCTTGCATGGTGGCTCAGACTTGTAATCCCAGCACTTGGGGAGGCTGAGGCGGGTGGATCACTTGAGCTCAGGAATTTGAGACCAGCCTGGGCAACTTAGTGGGAGCCTGTCTCTACAAAAAATTAAAAAATTACCTGGACATGGTGGCACACTCCCAGCTGCTGTACTCCCAGCTACTCAGGAGCTGAGGCGGGAAGATCACTTGAGCCTGGGAGGTCAGGGCTGCAGTGAGCTGTGGTCATGCCACTGCACTCCAGCCTGGGTGACAGAGCAATACCTTGTCTCAAAAAAAAAAAAAAAAAAATCAAAACCCAAAACTTAATTCATTAATTTGGTAAACACGTTTTGAGTGCCTAGGCAGTATGGGTTTATGAAAATGTGTTAAGATATTATCCTTGCTGTGAAGGAGTATATAAATTTCCTTAGTGTATTACAAATTAGAATGTAGTGAAAGACTTAAGTTCTAATAAAGTCATAAAAGAAAATGCTTTGTGGATGATCTAGCACTTAGGGTAGGCTTAGTGAGATTTCACCCAGGGAACTGAATCGAGAACTTGTTTCAGGCAGAGAGGATGGAATGGGGAGAATCACTGGTGGGTGATAGGACAAGATAATTAGATAATAATAACCCGGGCATACAGAACTGGGCCCTTGCAGTAAGATGTCTGAGAAAATATGAAGAAAATGGATGTTGTGAACCTGTAGGATTGGTACATCTTTTTTTTTGAGATGATGTCTTTCTCTGTCATTCAGACTAGATTGCAGTGGTGCCATCTCTGCTCACTGCAACCTCCACCTCCTAAACTTAAGCAATCCTCCCATCACAGCCTCCTGTGTAGCTGGGACTATAGGCACACATCACCATGCTTGGCTAATTTCTGTATTTTTTTTTGTAGAGAGAGAGTTTTGCCATGTTGCCTAGGCTGGTCTTGAACTGTTGGCCTCAAATGATGCACCCACCTCAGCCTTTCACAGGGCTGGGATTACAGACGTGAGCCATCGCACCTGGCCATATTGTTACATCTTAATGACCAATTAATTAGATCTTGGTAGAAACAAAAAGGTACAATGAAAAGTGATTTTTGGTTGGAATTTGGGAGCCTTAGCAGATACAGTGCAGTTACGAAGAACATGTTAACCTTATACATTTGGTTTTGAAAAAGTTTTTCCTTAACTTTTAAAGTAATATGTATGTGGAACTGTGATGGAGAGTGAATAGTCAGAACTGTGGGTGCAGTTTTGGCAGCCATTCCCTTAAAGATTATAATTTAAGTTATGGAGGTGGAAATGAAATTGATGAAACCTCTATGTCAGTATCTATCAAAATTTTAAAATGCACTTATACTTGGACTCAGCAATTTCATTTCTAAGAATTTGTCCTGCAGACATACAGATGCACCACAGAATGATATATAAATAAGTATACTCATTGCAGCATTGTAGTACTTTAAATGAGCATTCAGTAAGGAGTCTGCTTAAATAAAGTTACATTCATGCAGTGGAATCTCTATATCCATCTAAAAGAATGATGAGACAGCTCAATATGGGCATTTATAGAAGTTAAAAAAAACTAGGTGCAGACAGAGTATAAAGCATACTTCTGTTGTGTTAAAGTAAAATTAGATCGTGAACATGTGTATATATGTTTGTCTATGCATCGAGTATCTCTGAAATTATTCACTGGATATTGGTGCTTGTCTTTGGGAAAATCAACTGAGTGGCTGGGGATAAGATGGAGGAAGACTTTTCATTTTTGTATTTTTCTGTATCTTTTGTGTTTTATGCCACATATATGTATTATCTAATAGTTGAAAGTAGACAGACAAACGGAGGGATGAATGGATGACCAAGGGAAACAGTAAGACAGATAAAACAGTCCGCAGACAAAAACTTGGAAAAACACTCTTAAGTGTCTCTATTTTTTAAACAGTATTATGTATTCATGTCTATAGTAACAATTTTCACATTGTTTTACAGTTACCTATTTACTTGTCTATCTTTCCCACCAAAGTGTTAACTTCCTAAGAGGCTTGTTCACGGTATAACTCTAGCATCTTATTCACTACTTGTACATAGTTGGTGCTTGACAAATATTCATTGGATTATTTGAATGAATAAGTGAACAAATGGATGAACATTCCCTCAGGGATTAGGGATAAGAGAAGTTAGCTAAAAGTGGTACAACAGGAACTACTGAGGATTAGGAAGAAAAACAGAAAGTGAGGTAGTATACAGTTTGTTTTGTTAAAAAAGCTGAAAGTGTAAATTTAGGAGAGGATATCTTTGTATTTATAAAATACATATGTATTAAGTCTTTGTGGAAGGCACTCTGGTAGATATCTAGGGCATAGAAATCTGAATTAAATATAGATCTTGCCCTGAAAGACTTTATAATCTACTGGAGAAAGATAGGGTACAAAAATAATACTGAGTGTGAAATAATTATCACTTCTATCATAATAGATAGATTGTGGGACTTTGATGGAATGAAGGAAAGCTTCCTAGAGGGTGCTACCTCGCATCTGCACTTCTTTTCTAAACCCAGAGTACTTTTGAGATGAATTAATTGATGATTATTGAAAAAATTTTACACTAAAAGCAGATTTTCAGATTAGCCAGATGATTTTCTTTAGCATTAGTATTCCTACATTATTTTTCTTGTTCAGCATGTCTTTTTTTTTTTTCTTCAGAATTTCTCTTTTGGATTGGGCTATAGATAAGTACTATATTATTTAATATTTTGAAGCAAGTGAACTGATTCTCTAGGGTCTCACTCCATCACCCAGTCTGGAGTACAGTGGTGCGATCTTGGCTCACTGCAACTTCTGCCTCCTGGGCTCAAGCGATCCCCATGCCTCAGTCTCCTGGGTAGCTGGGATTATAGGTGTGTGCCACCACACCTGGCTGATTTTTGTATTTTTAGTAGAAACGGGGTTTGGCCTTGTTGGCCAGGCTAGTCTTGAACTCCTGGCCTCAAGTGCCCACCTCAGCCTCCCTGTATGTGGTATATAGTTTTAACATGCGTAGGTAATTACAGTGTTGGTACACACACACACACACACACACACACACCCACACACAGAGAAAATAAAAAGTTATTTATATTTAATAACTTCAGTAGGAAATAGAATTGTGTGTATTTAACCTCGTAATTTTTTATTTTTTTAGATTATTAGATATATTTTAAAATAGTTATTTAGTTCTTGGAGTATAGTAGGATTATTTCAATTCTTGATTTATCACGGCTGGGGAGGAAATCTATGCTTAATGTGTTTATCCTTGTGGCAACTTTTTTAATGTTGGTTTTGCTTTGGGTTCACCTTGCCGTTTATTCTGCCCGGGGATGCCTTATAAAAATGCAGAAAACGACCAGGCCTGGTGGCTTACGCCTGTAATCCCAGCACTTTGGGAGGCTGAGGTGGGCCTCCCAAAGTGGTCAGGAGTTCGAGTGGTCAGGAGTGGTCAGGAGTTCGAGACCAGCCTGGCCAACATGATGAAACCCCATCTCTACTAAAAATACAAAAAATTAGCTGGGTGTGGTGGT